CAATTTCTGCCTTCTACCAAACATTAAAATGATTTGAACCACTAATTGATGAAGATTAAAGACTACAGTAGGCAGTATGGATTACACCTCAACATAAAGAAAATGAAAATCCTTACAACTGGACCAATAAGCAGCATCATGATATATGGAGAAAAGATTGAAATTCTCAAAGATTTCCTATTACTTAGATCCACAATCAACACCCATGGAAGCAGCAGTCAAGAAATCAGACATCTTATCACACTGGGAAAATCTGCAAAAGACCTCTCTAACATGTTGAAGAGCAAATATGTCAGTTTGAAAGAAAGCTAGGGTGAGCCTAACCCAAGCCATGGTATTTTCAGTCACCTCATATGCATGTGAAAGCTGGATAATGAAGAAGACTGAAGAAAAGTTGATGTGTTTGAGTTGTGGTATTGACGAAGACTATTGAAAGTATCATGGACTGCCAGAAGAACAAACAAATCTGTCCTGGAAGAAGTGTAGCCAGAATGCTCCTTGGAAGCAAGAATGGCCAGACTTCATCTTACTGACTTAGGTCATGTCAAAAGGGACCATTTCCTGGAGAAGGATATCATGCTTAGTAAAGTGGAGGGTCAGCAATAAAGGGGAAGATCCTCTACAAGATGGATTATGGACACAGTAGCTGCCATGATGGGCTCAAGCACAGCAAAGATTGTGAGGATGGTGGATGACTGGGCAGTGTTTCATTCTGTTGTACATAGGGTTGCTATGAGTCATAGCTGAGTTGAGGGCACCTAACAACAACAACAGACATTTTAAAGCATTGCCCTTCTTGCATTGTCAAATCACATGTTCATCATGTTCTTTTAAAGCCTCACAAGAAGCACATTTAATATCCACATTTCTAGCAACATTTTGTTGCTGGTGCCATATGTGTTTTCTAAGATTGACAGAGACTTTCTCTATAGCTCTCCTCATTTCCTTCTGGGCCCTCATCAGAATTGCCTTTGATGTCCATAATTCTACCAACAGTGTCTTCAAGGCAATGTAGGCTTTCACTGTTAAGTACTTTAAAACTCTTCTAGTCTCTATCCATTACCCAATTCCAAAACTGCTTCCACAGTTTAGGTCTCTGTTAGAGTAGCATCCCATTCTTCCGGTATCTAATTCTGTCTCAGTTATGTAGTGCTGCTATATCAGATATACCACAGAAATTTTTTTCACACTTTAGGAGACTAGAAGTCCAGATTCAGAGTGCCGGCACTAGGGGAAGGCTTTCTCTGTCTGTTGGCTCTGGAGGAAGGTCTTTGGCTCTTCTTAGCTTCTGTTCCCAGGCAATCTTCATGTGGCTTTTCATTTCTCTCCCCCAGCTTCTGCTCTGCTTACTTGTTTAATCTCTTTTATATTTCAAAACTGATCTACTCAAGATCCACCCTACACTAATCCTGTCTCATTAACGTAACAAAGACAACTCATTCCCAAATGGAATTATAAACCACATAGAGGTTAGAATTTACAACACATATTTTGGGGGGACATAATTCAATTCATAACACATGTTGCTGTTGTTGTTGTTATGTGCCGTCAAGTCGGCCCCGACTCATAGCGACCCCTCCTTGGGTTTCTGAGGCAGTATCACTACGGAAGTAGGATTGCCCAACCTTCCTTCCAAGGAGTGGCTGGTGGTCATAACACATAGGATCTCTTTTTATTTCTACAGCTTCTGTTGCCCAGAAGGCTGGTGGTTCAAACCCACGAGTTACTCCTCAGAAGGAAAGTTGGGCAATCTACTTCCATAATGATACTGCCTCAGCAACCCAAGGAGGGGTTGGTATGAGTCTGATCCGACTAGACTGCATGAGTTTGGTTTCGTTTCTGGTTTCTGTTGCCCAATCCTTCCATATAGAGAAAGGCCAATAAAGGCTTTAGATACGAACTTCCAGCTATTTCTAGTTCAATATGCATTTTAAATCATTTAATATAGACACTCTTTTTCCTGTAAATGGGAGTAAGAAAGTACATACGAATGACTAGTTAGATAGATAGATAGACAAAAAAAGACTAGATTGTCACCTTTCAAAAGATTAACCCCAATGACTTACTTGGGTTTTCTAACATGACTCAAGATACTTCAGAAAGATTAGAAAGGATTTTAACATTATAATCAAAAACCAAAACACCGACTCAAAAGTAGGAGTATTTTTCATCTAGTATCTGTCCCACGCCTAGCTTAATGCCAAACATATGGTAGGCACACAAGTGTTTGCTGAATGAATTACTGTGATCCATAAAATCCAAGGTTTACTCATGGGTGAATCAGGGTACACCAGTGGAAATAGGCTAGGGCTCTATTCTTCTCAGCAGATTGATTTTATGTAAATCACCTCATTATATTTCATTGGCCTCAATTTCCTCATCTGTTAAATGGGAGGTTGGATCTAATAGATGATCTTCCTGCCATTTATAGCATTCTAGGATTAAGCATAACTTCCTGGCATCCACTGTAATTATTTAGCAACAAATAACCTCATCTAACTAACCTTTTTTCCCCTCACGATTATGGGTTTATTAAGAAAGTAAAGGTTACAATTCAGGATCAGAAATGACTCAGGGTATAGTTCTTTGATCACTTAGCAATTTTTTTTATTATTATTACTTTTTAAAGATAGCATTAGGTTTTTGTCTCCCTGAGCACTAACTTGGGGAGAAATGAAGATGAGCATAAGTTTTAGAAAGGTCATAGGTTGATATATATTTTTTTGCAGTCAATTGCAACGTTACGTGGTAATACACATATGAGTTAATTCTCAAGTGTCAGGTTTAAAAACTTAAAATAAAAAACTCAACTTGGAATCAAGTTTTTTTTGTGTGTGATAAACAGATCTCTCACCCCTTAAATATTACTCATTTTCTCTATTCCCATTCATCAAATGGAATAACCTTGTAAAATAATATGAGAAATGCCTTTAAAAAATAAATAAAGGACATACACTGATATATGCCAATAAATTGACAGCTGGTAGGCTGAGAATGAAATAGAGGTCCTCTTTGAAAAAGGTGGTGAATTAAATTCCCAGAGGCAGGACCCACGTGTAACGCAATCTTTATTTCATCTAGTATTTGAATCAGCATTGAATAAATGATATTGGAGGGACACACTTTTGAAATGAGTTATTGGCTATCATGTGAGAGGAAGTTTTAAAAATCAGATTCCAGCACACACATACATCACCTTTTTACCACTGTTAACTGCACACTGCTATGATTTTTTAAAAGGAACACTGCTCAGAACTAATGGAAACTGACCTCATATGGGTTTTTGTTGTTGTTGTTATTGTTGCTATTCCTCAGAATAATTAAGCACTAAACTAAACATTTAGGAGCTCTGGTAGCATAGTACCTAAAACACTTGACTGCTAACCAGAAGGCTGGCTGTTCAAACCCACCAGCCACTCCTCGGAAGGAAGATGGGGCAAATCTACTATTTCTGTCGTGATACTGCCTCGGAAACCCAAGGAGGGGTTGCTAAGAGTCAGTCTGACTCGATGGCACATAACAACAACAACACTCTAGATTAAGGAACTCTGATAGTGTAGTGCCTAAGGCATTTGACTGCTAACCAGAAGGCTGGCGGTTCAACCCCACCAGCCACTCATCAGAAGGAAAGTTGGGCAATCTACTTCTGTAATGAGACCACCTCAGAAACCCAAGGAGTGTTCACTATGATTTGGATCCGACTTGAAGGTAGTGAGACTCTAGATTAGGCTAGATCGACTTTGTTCATATCCAAGAATATTCTTTTATTCCTTTCTCATTTCTCAAGGATGCTTAGAAAGGATGATCTCACATTTCCTCCCAGTTCTATATTCTGAAATCTACCAGATTAAAGGCTCAACATTTCCTCAAACTAATTATTTTTTTTCCTATCAATTACAGCATTATATAACTGATCTTTTTCCTGATTACTGTAGGTAATAAGGAGGAACCCTGGTGACACAGTGGTTTAGCACTGGGCTCTTACCCAAAAGGTTGGCAGTTCAAATCCACCAGCTGCTCTGGGGAAGGAAGATGGGGCATTCTGCTTCCTAAAGATTACAGACTTGAAAACTCTATGGGGCAGTTATACTCTGTCCTATAGGTTGGGCATTCCTACTTCCGTAGTGATACTGCCTCGGAAACCCAAGGAGGGGTCGCTATGAGTCGGGGCTGACTCGATGGCAAATAACAACAACAAAAAAATAGGATCGTTATCAGTTGGAATTTGACTCCATAGCAATGAGTTTTTGGTTTTGGTAAACAATAACTTTCATGATACAACTGACACGAAAAGGTGAATAAGAGTTGTAAATAAATGCTCCGGACTCCTGTTGAGCTATGTTATTATGTAGCATTGTTTTGCTTATCTATCAATCTGTCTCCAATGCACAAATCCAACTAGTGGGTAAAAAAATGACAAGAATGGGACCAGCTACAAACACAGTGCATTTTTGGCATCCATAAAATAACCGGGGACATTTGCATCTACAGAGATCGTCACCCACACCTGCTCTGAGGAAGCGCCCTTTAAGGTGTGTGCGTGAGTGTGCTCTTCCCAAACCATCTGGACAGTGATGCGAGAGAAAAAAATTTGCATTGCAAAGACTGATTAAAAAAAAAAAAAAAATGCTGTGCAGGTAGTTAATAGCCAAGAGCGTGTTCTTGCTGGAGGAGTCAAAGGAGGAGAAAGGTAGCAGCATCGGTGCCAGCTGGGGGCTGACCTGATTCCCTAGAATCCTCAGCTCCCTTCCTCTTTCCTCCCGACGTCCTTGCTTCCCCTTCTCCAGATAAGCAGCTCCGGGAAACAAAGAACTCGGCTGTCTTGGCATCAGAGCTTAAGCCCAGCATACAGCGAGCGGCATCGCAACCCCGGGACCAGGCTCCCCGGCTTCACATCCCCTCCCCACCTTCCCCCGCCTCCCGCGCTCGCTCGCTAGCTCTCTCCCTCCCCGCTCGCTTCCTCCCCCACCAACGCTGCGCTGGGAGGAAGGCGGCCGGGGCTCAAGATGGCTTTAGCCGGGCTCTGCGCCCTGCTTGCCTGCTGCTGGGGGCCGGTAGCGGTGCTGGCCACGGCCGCCGGCGACGTGGATCCATCCAAGGAGCTGGAGTGCAAGCTCAAAAGCATCACCGTGTCGGCGCTGCCCTTCCTGCGTGAGAATGACCTGAGCATCATGCATAGCCCCTCGGCCTCGGAGCCCAAGCTCCTCTTCTCGGTGCGCAACGACTTCCCGGGGGAAATGGTCGTGGTGGACGACCTGGAGAATACGGAGCTGCCCTACTTCGTGCTGGGTGAGTCCCGGGGGAGGTCGAGGCAACCGCAGGCGCCGGACCGGCGCCCCCACCCCCACTCTGGCTCCCTCTACACACCCACACACCAGCGGCCTCCCCTCCCCCACTTTTACCTCCTTGGATCCGCCCCACTCCCAGCCAGCTCCACACCCACTTGCAGGGTAGCGCCTCTTTGCGCCTGACTTTTTCCCAAATCCGACCTGGATACTGGGCCTCCATCGTCTCACCCGCCCTGCCCTAAAGAAACAGGTTGCACTGAGTCTCTGAATCCTTTCCCAAGCTTGACCTCCCAGCTTTGATTCCGGAACACATCCACAGAGCACATCTTGTCATCTACCAGCTCAACTCCCATAAGCCTTTCTCCCCTCTTTCTGGCCGCGTGCTCAGCTGTTTGCTTCACACCCTCAGGACACACAGACCCACCCACAGCATTTCCTGGGGCAGTTTCTACTGGCAAGCCGTCATCACCTTTGCTGGGCAAATGCAGGCCAGATTGCACTGGATGGATCCCTGATTTTCACTCAATGAAAGCCTTTTATCTGTCCCCAGGTGACTGCTGCCCCTTGCTGGCCTGCATTTAGTGCACTCAAGTTTCCATTACCCTGGTTTCCAACCTGGAAAGTCCTGCTTCCAGGCTGAAATGTAACCAAATGTAAGCCTTCTCATTCAACTACCTCCACATCTCTCTATCACATCCCAGTTCCTTGGATGAAGAAATCATCCATCTGTAGTCTGGTAACATTCTTATTCTCTTTGTTCCCTTCACAACATAGGATGTTGTTGTTATGTGCCCTCGAGTCGGACCCTACTTACAGCGACCCATCCTTGCGTTTCTGAGGCACCAAGGCAGTATCACTACAGAAGTAGATTGCCCCATCTTCCTTCCCAGGAGTGGCTGGTGGGTTTGAACCACCAGGCTTCTGGTTAGCAGTCAAGTGCCTTAGGCAGTATGCTACCAGAGTTCCTGCATACAGAATGACTTCTGGGCAAGAGGCACTTGTTTTGTGTGTTTTGTTTTTATTTTTAAAATCTCGCTTTCTTTCTTGGTGCCCCCATTTTCATTTTCATAGGCCACAAAACTCCTTCAGGTACTGGAACCCCCATATTACTTCAAATCCATCTCTCTTTTTCACTACCAGCCAAGTTGCAAAGATAGTATTTTCCTATTCTGGCACCTTGCAAAACACCACAAGTTCATGTGACTTAATTAACCAGAATTTCCCTCACTTCTTCATGTCCGTGTGCATCTCTTACCCAGCTGTGCACAACCACCATGCAATCCATTTCTTTAATGATGCTGTGTATTATTCTTATTTTGACCAGGAGATAATTTAAAGATAACCACACATAAATCTGTGCATCCAGGATAAAAAATTAAAATGTCCAGGAGGTTCTTTCACTGACTTAATGTCCTACCAATTAGAGTTCACTTTTTCAGGAACATGGCTTCCTGATGGCCATATCTAGGTTAGAGTCAGAAGTAAAATGCTAACACATTCCTCTTGTTCTTTCTACACAAAAGATTACTACACAATGAAACCATTAGAAAGTGGGCAAGTAAACCCGCATTCCCCAAACCATATGGAAAAGCAATTTCAAAAATTGCCTGGTCTTTTGAAAAGTTAGTTTCCAGTTCCTAGTAGCATGCTCAGTGCAACCTATTAAGTCCAGCCTGTACCTTTTGATGAGATTATTAATAAAACACCAATAACAAAATCAAAACTGGAGACTGACTGGGAGAGAGAACACTGTGGATATGCTATTCATTAAGATAGCTATTGCTGGGGTGTTCAGTAGATGCCAATTTTGTAATGTGTAAGTACAATGTATTCATCAGAGTATGTAGGAATGGGTAGAGGAAATGATGTATTTCTAAACAGCCTATTTTGGGCTTTACATGCATTGGTAGCTGTGTGGGAAGAGGGTTGTGTCTGTTGTATAAAAAAAGGAAGGTAGGGCTTACAGGTATTCAAAATTCCACTTGCTTTTTTGTGGAATCCCGAAGCCAAGGCCTAAAGCCATGATGTACTGACTAGGATCCCATATGCACAGCAAAAGCTTTGATGTTAAAGAAAGGTTTTTCTGCACCTCTGTGCAAAGCTGTCTGCTGCAGCACCCTGTTGGGGTTGCTATGGTAACGTGCTGCAACTTGGCATTTACACAAGAGCAGACATACTCTCACTTCAGGCAAAATACACTTGTTGATAAATGCATTGATGGTCTGCCCCCCACCCCTTCCAGGCAACATGAAACAGGACATATTTAGAATTTATCTCTAATGAATCTTAACTTGGGTGGTGGAGCAGAGCTGAGCAGAAAGGGAGAGGAGTCCAAGTTCATGAAATATAGACTCAATTGTAGTTGTTTTTGAAGTTAACTTTTATGGCTCTGGATCCCATAGCTCATGGCCAATAGTAAGGGTTGTGCCTTACTTTGGTTTAGAGATTTCCTTACTCTGGAACCATGCTGTGGTGCCTAAGACATTTGACTGCTAACCAGGAAGTTGGCAGTTCAAACCCATCAGCCACTCCCCTGCAGGAAGATGGGGCAATCTGCATCTGTGAAGATTTACCACCTCAGAAACCCAAAGGGTTTCACTGGATGGCCATGAGTTTGGTTATTTATTTATGGTTTTCTCTTGAAGCTAGTTTGCATATTCCATCCCCTGGAGGAATTGGAATCAGCCAGTCCTGGGTATTTTTTAAGTATTCACATGCTGAGCACTCTTAAGCATTATTACCAATACCAGTTACTATCTGGTCGATTCTGACTTGTGGTGACTCCATGTGTGTCAGAGTAGATTTGTGCTCCACAGGGTTTCCAATGGCTGATATTTTGGAAGTAGATTTCCAGGCCTTACTTCAGTGGGGCCTCTGGGTGTATTTGAACCTTTTGGTTAGCAGTGGAGTACATTAACTGTTTGCACCACCAAGGAGATGTTAAAAATAAATAAATAATTACATACGTACATAAAAGGTTCCCAGTCTCAGGTACCCTCTAGTTAGTGGAAGCACAGATTGTGCTAGCTGTAAGAGCTGTACATAACTGTATCTGATTGTGTGGTGTGGATGTTGAGTGGTACAGGAATGCTGAGGAAGAGATGTGCTTACAATGATGAGTGGAGATGCAATGGAAGAGACATGACCAGGGACCTTGACCAAAGTCAGATTGTGTCACCCTCTCGGGAGGGAAAAAAAGTTTTGATTCCCTGTTGGCTCCAGGATTAAGTGCCTTTATTTCAGTGAGGCAAACATAAATCTGACTGCAGCCAACTTCTCTCAGCTCTTACCATGCAAGCAATTACACTGTACTCACCATTCCCCAAATCTGCCATGGCCTTCAGGACTCTTTCTGGACTTCTCACAGGTGATTCCCTGTGCTTGGAATGTTGTTCCTCTGTTCTCCACTTAGCAGTCCTCCCTTTTTGCATCTAAACCCTGCACACATGTTACCTCTACCCACTCAAGGTAGTTTAAGTCTATCTTACTCTTGTGTATCTTGGGTGGATTAAAAAATAAAACCAAATATAAAGGAAGGAAATTAAAGGTAGAGTAGGTTTGTTTTGGCTAAGAAGAGTGAAGACATTGAAGGTCATGGAAAAAAGACAAAGAAAGATTCCAGTGATTGGAATGAATATGAGAATGGCATGGTAATGGTGCAGTCCAGAGATCAGCTTGACTAGAGTAGAGACTTGGGGTGCTTAGTAGGAGGCATGCCCGGCTCTGGGGAATGGGTGTGGCACTCCACATAAAAGCCTAGGAGAGGAGAAATTGTTTGACATAGAAAGCAAAAAGAGTAGCTCCTAGAGGCTATCTCTACCCTTAGGTTGATAATTCTCCTTGTAGCATAATTCTCCAGGAAAGAGGAGGTCTTCTGTTCTCTGAAGCAGGGTTTGCAAACTGGTGGGGCAAGGGCCAGGTGGGACTTCTAATTGTGTCTTGTTTGGCTATACAACATTTAAAAATGTTTCAATTTGATATTTTTAGTCAAGGCACACTGGATTGCCACACTGACCACCAATATCCATTGTACTGTGTTCCCTCTTTATGGTATTTATCTGTCCACTCTGATCCAGGTAATCTAAACCTCTGCTTTCAGAAGTGTTGTAAAACTCTAAAATAGAAAAAAACAAAAGTAATTTCCAAATTAACATATGTAGATGCATAAGTCTTATAACTGTCTTAGGAGAACATAAAAGGTTTGTCAAACAAGTCAACTAATGTTGGGCTAAGATCTCTCCAAGGAGTGTATCTTCCTAATGTAAATGCTCAGCTCTTAGAGCTTTTGACTGAAGAAGGTTCTTCTAAAGATAAATCAATCAGCTTGCAGAGATGTAGTGAGTTCCTACATGCTATTTAGAGTGCTTTGGAGCAGTCCAGTGTGGTGGTTAAAAAAACAGGCTTTGAAGATCTGGTGTCAGCTTCTGGCTCTCCACTTATTCCTACAGTGGAGAAAAATGAGGATCAGAGAGTTTAAATAATTTACTTAGAGTCACAGAGCTAGCAATTGATGGATCCACCACTTGAGCTCAGGTTTGTACCCTGAGTTCTTTCTTGAGCCTTTCTCTTAACTATTTTATATATCTTAAAATTTTTTGGAATCTTTTTTTTTTTTTTTCTTTTCATGGTTGAATAAGGAGTCCTGGAAATGGTTACAACAGGGAAAGCACACTCACCTAATTTGTATTGTTGTTGTTGCTACAGAGTTAGCTCTGACTCATGGCGACCTTGTGTATAACAGAAGGAAATGTTTTCCTGGTCCTGTGCCAGATACCTCTTGAATATCCTATTTGTCAAATGATTTCTCATACAAACCTTAATGCAGAAGAGGATGACCTTCATTGAGAAATATTTATCGAAGTAACAATATTTGCCTGAGCAGAATTTGGCAATTCTTACTTCATTCATAGTTTCCTGATTTGGAGGGCCACGTGTCCATGTTCCTGCAATATGTTCTGGCTCCCACAGTAATAATGAACACGGAAAGATACACAGACATGA